TTCAGCAGCAACCAAAACACCTCTGTGGGTCCCAAGGGGGGACAACATCCTTTCCTCCACACTGTACTCCCCTGGGTACTGAGACGGAAGAGAGAGTGCAGGGAGGGACAGTCTCTCTGTGCAAACTCCAGCTCTGACCAGGTTTCCCTGCAAGGCATCCCTCCAAGCACTGAGCTCCTATTAGATCCAGGGCATCACGCTAGATCCTCAGAGTATAGAAATAAGTGTGGCCCGTGCACTCAAGGCACAGACCGCCTGCTGAGAACCACCTGTGACTATGTAACAGGGAACAGGGAGCAGGCAGGTTACCCACACCCTACAGCCACAGGGCAGATGCAGATGGAACACGGAACAGGGGACAGCTTTGAGAACCATTTTGGAGGGACCTCCAGGACATGATGTCGGTGTGGAGAAAGTGAGAACACACAGACATTTACCTAAGGGGGGTGGTAGGCCAAATACACATATTTGCTTCTATAAAAATTCAATGGAAGGAGAGACTGTACAATTAAAAGACAACTGGTTATCTATAGGGGAAGAGAAGGAATGAGGGTTACAGGGAGAGAAACCTGATTTCTCTGAAAATACCCTGACTTTGGAACCATGGAAACAATTTTAGATAACTACAGAAATTAATTTAATTTTTTTAAAAATTAACTTTTATTGGAATATAGTTGCTTTACAATATTAATTTTTTTAAAAAACCCAACGAGGGATTCCCTGGTGGCGCAGTGGTTGAGAATCTGCCTGCTAATGCAGGGGACACGGGTTCGAGCCCTGATCTGGGAAGATCCCACATGCCGCGGAGCAACTGGGCCCGTGAGCTACAACTACTGAGCCTGTGTGTCTGGAGCCTGTGCTCCACAACAAGAGAGGCCACGAGAGTGAGAGGCCGGCGCACCGCGATGAAGAATGGCCCCCGCTCTCCGCAACTGGAGAAAGCCAACACAGCCAAAAATAAATAAATAAATATTTAAAAAAAAAACCCAACGAACGCTCTACAACATGCATATGGGGACAAAATGACATCACAGACCTCCTGGTCAGATGCACTGTGGACACAGCATCATACCTGTGACACTCTGACCTGAGTTTCATCCTGAGGAAGCAACAGACAAACCCAGACCAGAGGTGGGTCTATCTGAGCACCAATGAGACGATAACCATGGCGATTAAGACTCATTAAACTATGTTTAAATCCATGATCTCATGATGACACCAAAACCCCCCGCAAAAGCCTAACACCCTCACCCTCTGGAGGATGCTCTAAGCAGAGAACCAACTCGTTACTCTGAAAGCTGGAAATATCAAGGAAGAATTCAAGCATGTCTCCTGACTTTCCTATATGAACGACGTCTTGGGGCAACCAAACAGTTAAGTTTTCAGAAATATGTTGGGTTAATAAATGGAGAAAGAATGTCAGAAGTCGAACATTAATATTTGCAACCTCTAATGAGATGATGGATGGAAGCCATAATGACCCAGGTCACCATACAGGACAAAAGAAACGGCCTCAGGAAAGCACGCTCCTCCACCACCCCCACAGGGGAGGGAGTCCTCCCAAAGATCCCCCCCCCACCCCACCAGCACCAAGGGACGGAGGACACGCTGGCTCATGTGTCGGGACCACGGGGATGCGCTCAGCAAGGTCCAGGGTGGAGACCCCACCCACAGACGGCCTGGTTTCCTCAACAAAGAGCAAAAACAGATGCAGGGAGAACGGGCAGAGTAAAAGACAGGAGAGGCATATCTACCAGTCACAACCTATGGACCTGGTTTGATTCCAGAGTTGCCCAAAAAATGACCAGACAACTGGGGAAATCGGAGCTTAAGTTGGGTATCTGATGATATTCAAGAAAAACTTGACTTTTTTACTTGTAATACTGGACTCAGGACTTTTGTTTTTAAAACAGAATGAGGGACTTCCCTGGCAGTCCAGTGGTTAGAACTCTGTGCTTCCACTGCAGGGGGGCACGGGTTCGATCCCTGGTCGGGGAACTAAGATCCTGCAAGCCGCGCGGCACAGCCAAAAAACAAAAACAAAAACCCATGATGAGCTATCTACTAAAATATTTATGGGTCAAATGACAGGATGCTGGCTGGGATTTGCTTCAAAAGACCTGGGGGAGAGGGGCTGTAGGTGGGGGCTTGGAGGGAACCAGCCTGGCCGCGAGGCGATTCTTGCTGAAACCGACGGCAGGTGCGTGAGAGGCGCGTTATACCACGTCCTCTATTTCTGATCCATCTAAAATTTCCCATAACTAAAAAAAAATGCCCATAATTATTACCTTCCCCACCCGGCCCCGAGCTGCCAAAGTGGAACTCTGCACTTTTACAACATGAGCTACCCACTGTTTTACTCTTCTGGTAAAACACGGAGGGCAGGCCACGAGGACCGGTCCAAGGACGCCAGCGATGCCGATCCGGAGCCAGACGGCCTCTTTTCTTTTCCTTTTTTCAACACAGAGCAGGGTGGCCCCAGACAGGCATCCCTGTGGGTCGCAGCTGTCCTGCCCACCCGGCTGCCGGGTGGACACTCGCTCCCCGCCCGCCCCGCCCGTAACCCCTTCTCCTGGAAGCCTCACACTGCCCCCCCCGGCTGGGGGCGGGGGGCTGCCTGTTGGATGCTCGCACAGACACTTCCCCTTTTGTTGAGAGCCCTCGACTCTGCGGGTTCCTCGAACCCCGTGAAACCACCAATATCCTCCACGTGACCCACCAAAGGCACTTTCACAAGGCTCCACCCACTGCTGCCTCGAGCAGGGCCGTCCAGCTCTGCTGTGCAGCACAGCCTCCACCCAGCAGGGCCCGCTCAGCACTGGCGAGACCACCTGGGCTGTCCCGCCGTTCACGCAGAGCCACCCCGCGGGAGCTCGGCAAAGGCCGAGGCCACAGGCACCAGGGCCTGACGAGGCAGGGCCTTCACCGCCCACAGCACGTGCGGTCCCAGCAGACCCAGCCCAGACCCGTCTCCCCAGCCAGGTCAGCCGCAACCTCAGACTCGCGGGGAGATTGAGTCACTCCACAGCACCGTCCTCAGAACCTCGGTGCTCAGACCCTGCGGGCGAGCGCTGGCCAGTGGGCTGCAGACGGGCACACGCCCAGAGCTCGTGCGCGTACACACGTGCGTGCACACACATGCTCGCCCAGGGAGGTACGGACCAGCAAGAGGGGCCTGGGGGGAGACGGGGCTGCAGCACGTGGTGGCTGGAAGGTGCACAGAAATGTAGTGAGAGCCACGCGGCCCACGTCTGGGAGATGAAGGCAGGCCCCCAAGGCTTCCCACCGCGGCGCTGACGCCCCGCCTTCGTTTGCAGCCGACGGGCCCCGCGCGCTGCATGGGTGGCACAGCCGGGGTGCCCACGGCTGGAGCTCAGATGACACTTGTCACATAAATGAGGGAGACGCTAGACGAAAGAGGAAGAGGACTCAGGTGGGGACAGAGGGCGGGTGCCTGCGGGCAAGCAAGGGCGCCAGCTGCTTGGTCCCAGGTATCAGAGGGAGGCCCCAGCTGGGCACGACGCCCAAGGGAGGTGCCTTGCCCTGGGCCTCTCCTCATGGCCCAGATGTGACTGGCTCTGGGCACACAGGGGCAAAGCTGCTTCTTTCTCCCTGTATTGTTCCCCTAATAGCATCGCCCACACCCTGCTGTCAGCTGTGAAAACACTGTGTCACATGCGTGGGCTTCAGGACTAGTCTGCCTGGTTTAAACCCCCACTAGTCAGAAGACTTAACCTACCAGTAGGATCACTTCTCTTAGCCCTGGTGCCTCCGTTTCCTCGTCTGCAAGGCAGGACAGAGGGGTGGTGAGAGGAGTAAAGGCAACTCACCAAATGAGATCATCTCCGAGAGGAGCCCCGCAGGCCCTTCCAGAACCATCTCTACTATCATCACTACCCACAGGCCAACACCCCCAGCAGGAGGGCCGACAGTTAAGCAACACAAATGCCAAATGCCAAGGTACCCATGCCTGCGGCCAACAGACAATGAAACCCCACTGTGCCCCCTCCCACACTCCCTCCTTGATGTGCAAACTACAGAGAACAGAAAATTTCAGACTCCTCCAAAAAGCTCTATTACATGCTGAGTTAAGCATGGCCACGCACCAGATTCACTAAAATAAAGAGAACTTCCAGGGGCGTCTTATTCCTTCCCCAGTGACGTTCTCGTCTATCTCAGAATAAAGGCATCGTAGCCACATCCAGACAGGAGTGCTGAGCTTTGTGGAGCAGCAAAGGGAGATGCAGACTCAGGATGCAAGAGGCCATGTGGGGACGTCCACACCCGTCCCCACTGCTAGCCTGGTGACACCTGTTGTGACCCAGCTGCACTCCTGCAGGACAGCGTCCCCTCTGCCCCTCCCTCCCCCACTGGTACTCACGTAAGAAGTGTTTTTCCAATAAGGCGATTTCCAGGTGACCTTTGATCTCATTTAAGCGATCAAACTCTGTCCGGTTAAAGTCCTGGACTCCTGCAGCCATGATGAGGGTCCCTGGCCCAGCCTAGAAGGAAAACACCAAAAGCTCAGAGGAGCCTCCCGGAAGCATCCTGGGTCCACATCGACCAGTTCTCTAAGGGGTACCCCCCAAGGACCCCGTGGTCTAGAAGGGCTGGTCCACAGGGCCACCGGCCTAGGAAGACACTGGCTCTGCCTTAGAACTCGCATCAGTTCACCTTGGCTTCACCTGTCGGTAGAAGGGACATTTCAGACAACGGGGACATCCTCAGAGCCCTGGTGAGGCCGACTTCCAGCAACAGTAAAGGCAAAACTGGAAGCGTGACGCTAAGCCTCCTGACGGTCACAACACAGCTCTCAGGCTGCAGAGGGAAGGAAACCATCGAAAACTGCCCTGGCTCACGTGGCGACCTCCCAGGAGGAGGGTGGGCCTGGCCACAGGGTCTGTCGCCCTCCTGCCCTGGGAGAGGCAGCAACAGGACTCCGGGGAGGTGGGGCAGGGCGCGTCCACGTGCCAGGCTCTGAGGTGAGCGAACTCCAAACAGGGGCCTGTCCTTTCCCACAGAAGGCTAATTAAAGCCACCACCCGCCATCCCGCCGGGCCCAGGGTAGGCTCCGGTTTCAGGCCACCACTGCCCGCTGGAAAGGGGTGCGCACGTTGGCACAGCCAGGCCTGCCCGGGGCACAGTGGGGCTGCCGGCTCACGCCCACCCCACTGCTGACCTGGTGAGGGCGGCACCTGAGCGCCCTGCTGTGCGACGGGGTGATCTGACGCCCCAGTTTTGGTCTCCACGACCACACCCCAAAGGCAGGGTGAGGAAGGGGACACCCGGCATGGACAGGGTCCGTGACAGCCCCAGTGATCGCTCCAGGCACAGGTCATCTGCTCGGAGGCCACACCCCGGGAAGCAGCAGCTCACACTGGGGAACAAAAGGGGCCAGAAAGACCCTCTAGCCCACGGCTGCCCTGTCCTGGCACGTGACCTCCTGGACTTTCAGCTTCTCTGGCTACCGGGGCATGAGGTCCCAGAGGGCAGGGACCAGGCCATGTTTACCTGCCCGCCCCGTGGGCCTGGCAGGGGCAGGTATGCGGAGACTGGGCAGTAGGCGAAAGGCAGGGTACGCCCCCTGCTCTGCATGGGGAAGATGGCCCAGGCTCGCCCATTGGTCCCCGCAGATGAATTTGTCCCTCCTCGGCCCATCCCCAACCTCGGTGCCCAAGATGGTGGCCCCAGAGCAGAGGGCAGGGGCTGGCCCGGAAAGGCAGCTCTACACTGATTTGGAAGCAGAATACGGGACTCCATTATGTCAGCAAGTTCCCACCAAAGCAGGCAGGGCATCCCGCGGTTTGCAGCCCCGTCTGGACATGTGAATCCACGTCCTCAGAAGGCTGTGACGCGTGTTAGTCTCTAAGCCGCTGGAATTAAGCTCACCTGGAACTTGCCCTAGAACTTCAAGAGCTCCTACAGGGGCCCCCGGGTCCAAGAGAGCCTGGGACCCTCGTGGCTTTGGCCAGACTCAGTGTCGAAGCTGCAGCAGCTCAGCTGGGCGCCCACAGGACGGCAGGGACGGTGAGGACCACCAGCTCTGGGGAGCCAGACAGCTGGAGGGGGCACCCCGATGCGGATGGCAGGCGCCGGGGGGGGGGTGCCCTGAAATCCTGGGGTCCAAACCCCTCCGTGAGCCCCTTGGGTCCCTCCAGCTGACCCCTTTTCAGACTTGCCAAGAGCAACGCTAAACTTGGGGTCGGGAGCCTGGACTCGGGACCCCCAAGGCTGCAGCGCTGCTGCCACGAAACCAGGGAGGTGGCCTGCCTGCTTCTTCCCCCAGCTTCCCTAGAACCGCGTCTCTCCACCCCCGGCTCCTGGAGCCGATGCCCGCTGCACCTCCACGTGCGTGGGGTCTCTGCCTCTGCCCCAGCTCTAGGGCTCTGGTCCTCGCCTCCTTGCCCCTCTCCTTACTGGCCTGTCACCAACCACTCGGGGGACCCTGGCCTCAGACCCCTCGTCGTTCTCTTCAACGGCCCTCCGCCGACCACAGACACACCCTGCCCTGGACATCACCCAACCTCCACCGCTGCGGCCCCTCGAGCCCGTCTGCCCGTCCAGGACCCCCTCCCTCCCCCCATTCCCCTC